CCCCAGCCCCTTGGCATACAAAACCCCCCCCCCCAAAAATTTTTTTTTTTTTTTTTTTTTTTTTTTTTGGCAAAATGCTTCACTTTCTGGGTTTCTATCTTGCAAATGCCTCTAGGAATAAGGGCGAGCGTGTGGCGGGGTGTGAGGGTGCGTGGCCGGGTTGGGGCAGGCGGGGTCCCCGGCGCTGACGCCGTCCCCCCGCTGTGTCCTGCAGAACAAAACGTGGAGCGGCACGTGCTGCAGACGCAGTGTCGGCGCCTGGAGGCCCAGCACTACAGCCTGAGCCTCACGGCCGAGCAGCTCTCGCACAGCATGGCGGTGAGTGCGGCCACCGGCCCCCTGCAATGTCCCCGTGGTCTTTGCGGTGCTCCTGTCCCCCTGCGATGTCCCTGTGTCCCTGCTGTGCCCCTGACTCCTTGCAATGTCCCTGCAATGTCTGCATCCCCCTGCAATGTCCTTGTGTCCTTGCAATGCTCCTGTCCCCTGGCAATTTCCCTGTGTCGTTGCAATGCTCCTGTCCCCCTGCAATGCTCCCATGTCCCTGCATTGCTCCTGTCCCCCTGCAATGTCCCTGTCCCCCTGCAGTGTTCCCACATCCCTGCAATACTCCTGTCCCCCTGCAATGTCCCTATGTCCCTGCCGTGCCCCTGACTCCTTGCAATGTCCCTGCAATGTCCGCATCCACCTGCAATGTCCTCATGTCCTTGCAATGCTCCTGTCCCCTGGCAATGCTCCTGTTCCCCTGCAATGCCCCCATGTCCCTGCAATGCTCCTAACCCCCTGCAATGGCCATGCCCCTGCAGTGCCTGTGTCCCTGCATTGCTCCTGTCTCCCTGCAATGTCCCTGTTCCCCTGCAATGTCTCCATGTCCTTGCAATGCTCCTAACCCCCTGCAATGCCCCCATGTCCCCACAATGTCCTCACGTCCCTGCAATGCCTGTCCCCCTGCAATGTCCCTGTCCTCCTGCAATTTCCCTGTCCCCCTGCAATGTCCCCATGTCCCTGCAATGCTCCTAACCCCCTAAAATGTCCCCGTGACCCTGCAGTGTTCCTGTCCCGCTGCAGTGGCCCCCCCGTCCTCCTGCAATGGCCCCGTCTCCCTGCAATGTCGTGTCCCCTGCAGTGCCCTCATGTTCCTGCAATGCCTCTGCCCCCTGCAATGCCCTGTCCTCCTGCAATGTCCCTGTCTCCCTGCAATGTCCCCATGTCCCCGCAATGCTCCTAACCCCCTAAAATGTCCCCATGACCTTGCAGTGTTCCTGTCCCGCTGCAATGGCCCCTGTCCTCCTACAATGTCGTGTCCCCTGCAGTGCCCTCATGTTCCTGCAATGGCCCCTGTCCCCCTGCAATGCCCTGTCCCCCTGCAATGTCCTGTCTTCTTGCAAGTCCCCTGCCCTCCTACAGTTGCTCCTGTCCCCCCTGCAGTGCCCCCATGTCCCTGCAGTGCCCCTGTCCCCCTCCAAAGGAGCCAGTGCAGCTCCCTGTGCCCGCAGCACCCCGGCATGGGGCAGGGGGGCCAGGCCGGGCATGTCAGTGTCCCCAGAGCCACCCCGCGGTGCCGGGGACCCCTCGGCGGTGACGGTGCCTCTCCCTGCGCCCCTGCAGGAGCTGCGGAGCCAGAAGCAGAAGGTGGTGTCGGAGCGGGAGCGGCTGCAGGCCGAGCTGGATCACCTGCGGAAGTGCCTTGCCTTGCCGGCGATGCAGTGGGCGAGGGGCTATTTCAAGGGGTATCCCAGGTGACGCTCCTTGGGCCAGGCCGAACCCATAGTCTAGAAATAATAATCTATTTTATTACCTTGAATATTTAATATTTTTCACTGGGAGGTTTGAAGCTAAAAAAATAAAATCGAAAAAAAAAATAAAAAAGAATAATAATAATAAAACAAACAAAAAAAAGGAAAGAATAAATGGAGAATGTGCCATGCATGAAGCAATGGAGCGCCGGGAGCGGAGCCGAGCGGGAGAGCAGCCCCGCGCCGGCCCGGCCTCCGCTCCGCCACGGGGGAGCCAGCAGGGCCTTCCTCCCCCCCGCCCACACCTTATGTAGCTCATTTCTTTATTTTTTTGTTCTTTTTTTTTTTTCCTTTTTATTTTTTAATTTTGAATTCCGGTCCAAGACTCCACCGAGAACACTAAGGCCCCGCGCGGCGGCCGCGCGCGAGCCGGCTCCGGCAGCCCGGGGCTTCCCGCTGGAAATGCACTTCGCTATAAAACAAATAAAGTCGATAAACGAACCGAAGGGACCTTTTTTATTCCTGCTTGGCGGGGAAGGGGGGGAGCGGAGAGCGCACAGCTATAGGACATACACACCCCCCCTATAGCTATACGTATAGGCACGTCCGGGGGGGGCCTAGGGGGTTTTTTAATACCGAGTCTAAAGATTTTTTCTTTTTTTTTGCAATTTTAGAATCAAGGAAAAAAAAAAGGTGCTTCAGCCTTATACTGTATATAGATATATTAAGAAAGAAAGGTTTTGTATGTTTTTATTACTTTAATTATTGTTATAAAAAGCTTGCCTTTTTTTTAAAAAAAAAAAAAGCAAAACGTTTCTGCTTTTGGTTCTTCCCCTCCCCCCCCATCCCTTCCTTTTTTGGGGGGAAAAAAAAAATAAATCCTTGCTTTTAGTGTTTGTACTGCTGCTGGTCAGGACAGAAAAAAAATGTTAAATTGTTTTAAAAAGACTTTTAAAAAAGGAAAAAAAATCCCAGAATCAGCCCTTTTCTGGGGCCTGTCTGTCACACCGGGGTCTCTCGCTCTTGCTTTGCTGCCAGGGGAGCACCAGGTACTGGAGCCCTTCGTCCCGCCATCCTCTTCCTCACGGTGATTTATGGTTTTTTTCCCCGTTTTTGAGGGTGTTTGGGGGCCCTTGGAGCCCCCGCAGCCCCCACGCCAGACAATCAGCTGCCCCCGCGCCCAGCCCGCTCAAACTTGCCTTGTTTTTATTTTAATTTTGCTATTTTCCCCCCCAAACCGAGCGCATTGCAGAGACCGGTACCCAACGGGGCCAAAAGCGCCAGGTGAACCCGGCCTCCACCCCTGATCCCGACCCGGGGCAATGTCCAGCTGCAATAAGGAATAGAAATAAAGAAATACGGGGCAAAAAATAAAGAAATACGGGGAAAAAATAATAGAAATGTGGTGCGAAAGCCCCATGGCGCTGCAGGGGGCCGGTGCAGAAGGCCAGGGGAGCTTTGGGGTTTGTTTTTATTTTTTTCATATATATACATATATATATATATATTTATTTTTTTTAATTTGCCATTAGAGGAGCTCGCGTCTGCAGGAAAAGGTGACCTCTGCTTTCTGCTTTAAATTCCCTTGTTGCACTCGCAAAGGAAGCATTAACCTCCCCTCCTTGTTCCCCCCTCGGCCTCCCATTGGCTTTAAACAAAAAAAAAAAAAAAAAACTGTGCAAGATTAAAAAGCAAAACGCCCTTGTGACAGAAATTAGTTTAATCTTTTTTAAATCCCCGTTGCAGAGCCAGCCTCTGGCCGAGGAGCTGCCAACTCGAGGCTTTGTGATGAATTTTAATGCAGGAAAAAAAAAAAAAAAACTTTTATGCTCAGCTCTGTTTTTCATTCCCGGGGGAGCGGGGAGGGCAACGTGGTGGCCAAGGGGCCACTGGCCGGCGTGGTGGCACCAGGCCGGGCTCCAGATGTTCCCGTGGGGGTTTTGGAGGTGATTCCCCCTCTCCGACAGCCCCACGGGCCCCTAAACACATTTTGGAGCCGCGTTTGGGGGGTGTTTTTTTGTTTGTACCTGTGCTGGGAGGGCAGGAGAGCCATGGCCTGCTGGGGGGCAATTGAGATGCTGTGAAAAACAAACAGGATTAAAAAGAAAAAGGAGAAAAAGAACCTAAAGCTGTTCTAAGTGTACTTGTTTGAATTAATTGTAATGTAATATATTATTTGTTGAATGTAGTAATTAGGTATTTATGAATATATTGCTGTAATTTCTGAAAACATCCAAAATGAAAATAAAATCTTCCTAAACGACGGCCAAGGATTCTTTGTGCCCCCGCCAGCGCTGAGGGAGCAGGGCCTGGACCTGTGGACCTTGGTGAGGGTGACGGGGTCGGTGACAAGGAGGAGCCGGGGGGGTTTGGAGCATCGTTTATCCCACGTGCACAGCGTGGGACCAAACACGAGGGCTAACGTGATGGAGGTGATAGAACGCGCTCGGCTGCCGTTCCAGGGGTCTATTTTATTTTATTTTGTTTATTTTTCACGCACAGTTTCAGGTGTGTAACACTACAAACCAGCCTGGCCTTGTAGAGGCAGCGCCGGTCCCTTGTGCCCTCTCCGCGGAGCAGCCGGATCCGCTTGGCAGTCGCCAGGCGGCACCCCCCCGCCCCCCGCCACGTCTCCCTCATTCCCAGAACATCCCCGGCCAAGCGGCGTCTTCCACCCCGCTGCTTTCCAGGCAGCGCGTGGCCTGTGCTGCCCTCAGAAGTCCTCGCTCCGAAATACACCCACGCGCTGCCGAGCTCCTCCGTGGCAGGAAGCGCCTCGGGAGAGCGCCCAGGGCCCCCGCGGCCACCCAGGGCCCCCGGTGCCACCGGCAGTGACTCACACGGAGCCTGTCCCCGCACGCAGGCGGAGGGGAACTCCTGCCCCGGAGCTGATAAGAGCGGAGCCGCCTGCGGTTTCGCGTCTCGAGGGGGAGGAGAGGTGGGTTAATGAAGCCTGGAGGAGCTGCCGAGCTCCCTCCTGGGAGGTTTCTAAGGCCACGGTTGGGAAAGGCCTCAGAAATCCTGCGAGGGGGCACCCTCGCTGGGCTGCAGGTTGCTGCGGAGCTTGTACATGTGATCTAAGGCTTGAGTAAGGAAAGTCCCAATTGTGTTGATTTCCATCAGGGTTAAGTTATCCAGCTTTAGAAAAAAAAAAAAAGAGAGAAAATAGCAGAATCTGGGGAAATGACACTGCGGCCCCTGCTGTAGAGAACAAGGATCTTCGAAAGCAGCTTTGCAGCAGACACGCACTTCTCCTTCAGTGACACCCCAAGGGACGGGCCCAGCTGCCACCCCTGGCCGGGAGCAGCATATGACCGACGGGAGCACTATTTTCACAGCGCGTGGGGAGCAGCAGAGAGAGCTTTCAGCATATGGCTTTAGTTCCCAACTGACAAGCCCGTAGCCCAGGAAAAACATGCCCCAACTGGCACTTTCCCGAGCAGCTCTAATCAGTCACAAGCCCACACAATCACACGGCATCTGGAAGGCTCCCAGGACGGAGCCAGGGAGCCTTTCCAAGCGTCCGCTCCGTACCTTGGCGTGGGCCTCCTGCTGCTTGACGAAGCTGTCCGCAGACAGCCGCAGTTTGGCTATCCGGGTGTCCCAGGTCTCCTTCACCAGCGTCCGGATCTCATCGGCTTTGGGGATGTTGTCGGAGGCGCTAGAGGAGGAGGGAGCAGATGAGAACAGGCTGCGAGGGACTCGTACATTATGTCACTGGCATAAGCAGTGCTGGCAGGTTTTCAGCCCTCTAAGGCATAAGCAGAGCAGTTTGCTATATTAAAAAAGAAAAAAAAATCAACCAACAGCAACTCAACATTAAAATCCAGCCTGGTACTGCTGCTGCTGGGATTTTTGGGACAGTTATTTACCCAGGAACTCTCAGCTCTGATGCAGCATCTGGTTCTCACCACAATCCTTCTGCTCTTTAATTGCCCAGCTGGTACGAGGTACAAGGAGGGCCAATAACCTGGCCAAAGTCACACTCAGCCAGGGGACGCAAAGAGTCAGAGCCAGTGACCAGAGCCAGAGCTCAGGTCCCTGCCCTCACAGCGCTCCGGAGAGCCCGAAAGGTCGTGTCACAGCCTCCCATCATGGACTGAGGTATTCCAGGGTTATTCCAGCGTGCGGAAAGGAGCCGCACGCCACGAGCGGCATCTCCAGAGGAAAAGCCAGCGCTTTGGTGACGGCCGCGCTGCCACCAAGGGCTTAAAGCGAGAAGACGCCGG